TTTTATTAATTTTCTAAAATAAATAATGTATATTCTCCGTTAAGATCGGAAAAGCTACCAACTACAAATAAAGTCAAAATTAAAATAGAACACATATAATTCGATAAAAAATATTAAGTGTAAGTTGTATAAACATTATACATTGGAGTACCGTTAACATAACTTGGTTTTCTCCCGGTTACATATTTCATGTTTTTTCGGGAACCTGAGGCCTTAAATATGGTGCAGAACGATCGAATTGCAGAGTTCACGATCGGACACTGACCTCCCGAAAAACTAGAGCGCGCGGGTAGATTTCAAAAACTTCAATTTGTTAAGCTACATATAAATCAACCCTCATCAAGCCACCACAGTGCATACGTACCTACTTATATATATAATACATATTTAAAAACTATTGATTAGCTGGGCCATGATATGCGACAAGATAATGACGTCTATATAATACACAAGGATTAATGAAAACTTAAGCGAGTTTAAGGCTTAGGTGAAGTTGAATAAGGGAAAAAATTCGAAATTCGAAAAACTACGAGTTTGAAATACAAATTCCTCAGTTCAGATTTTTAATTTTTTTTTCTTAATGAACTGTAACACATGTCCCGTTATAAAAGAAAAAACACCCATACTTACGTGAGTAGGACCCATTGCATGACATAACTTTCACTTCATTGACCGAACTAATCATGTAAAAGCAAGCAAGGCAAGTAGCGACGAAGGCACAGTGCTAATCTAACTGACCTATATAATGAGGGTGAAAGACCTCGTAAACTACCGTGCATTATGGCTGGCACAATACACTCCATAAAAACAATAATAAACTGTAACCCATTATAATACGGAGCAAAATAGCCACCACGAAATACAAATTTAATGTGTTTCGCGGAATCATTTTGTTTAATGCTCATTTATAGCTTGAATAATATCTAAAACGAGAGCGTGCGATTGCATCAATGCATTTCACTTTTGTACTTCCATATTTAGCTATTTCCTTGTTACAATTTGAATAAGTGTTTAATTATAATTACATTTAATTTGTAAAACTGTAAAACGATACCTATTTCAGGACAATGTCCTAACAAGTATTGTCGCATTTCCGGCACTATTTGCGAGGGCGGATGTCATTACACTCGTCCGAATTTCTATTTTTTAGACAGATTTATTTTGAACGAGAAAATCTAGCAATGACTAAGCCAAACTAATAATAATTTTGTGAGGTAAAAGGAATTTTACAAGCGATTACTAAAATTTAAAGTCTTTCTCTAATTATTGAGATGGCATTAAGTTTTTTAATCATATTCGGGAAGTAAAATTCTATTTCATAAAATTAATAGTATTATTAATTCAAGGATAAAAATAGCTCGATTAACATAGGACTCAGATATATAATTATATTAAATATAAACAATTGCAACTGAGTCCTAGGTTAATCCAGCTATTTTTATCCATGAATTAATAATACTATTAATTTTATGAAATAGAATTTTACTTATATATATATATAATATAATAACAAAGTAAATGTAAAACTCCAATTCAAGCAATTGTATGTTTATAAACTTTATTTTTTTTTGTTTAGAAATAGGGCCTATATCAATATGGTACGAAAATGTATTTCGAAAGGACTGAAATTCCTTAATAAATATATTGTACTCGAGTACCTACTCGATTATATACCTATAGTTTATACCCAAGTTTTCTTAGTACCAATAAACAAGCTCCAACATCCACCGTGTTTTTCTAGATAATTTTACTTACATTTTTATATTTAGTCGATACTTGTATCCGTTCAGCCTTTTTCCTTCATCTCTGTAAGAGGGGAGTGAAGATAAGGCGGTTGGGAACCTGCGGGAAATACAGAATTTAAGAAACCTAAAATAAGCCTTTATAGTTAGGGTACTATTACCAACCTTGTTAATGTGAACATGTATAGACTATATTATTGGCTGTATTAAAAAAAAATAATAATTATATAACTCCATAACTTTGTATACATTTTAAGTTCATATTAGTTTAGCCGTTTCAGACCGAATTTACCAACCCGAAATCCGTACCGGTGTATTGCTATTATTTTTTTAACATTATAAACTATACAATTAAAATATCATCGATTTTAAGCTATCACTTGTAAATGCTAATGAAACGTCCTTCTACGAAAAACTTCTAGTAAACTCCCAAACTATAAGAGAGGGACTCTTCTAGTTTCTACTCCAAAAAACTAGGAGTTTTTTGTAGAAGACGCGTATTTACAGGTGAAATTTGGAATATTATAGAATCCGGGAAAATAATGTCAATTTCGTTATTTTCAAATATTTATGGTTTTTAATCTAAATTGACGAGTGACAAATTCTATAAATTCCTAAAGTAGAGTATACCATGCAAATATACGTCTTTATATAGGTGGATTTTTTTACAATATTATAAATCTCACTATTAAATATTACATTTTATTTAAAACGTAACTATGCAATCACTATAAAATTATAATAACGTGTAAATTATTGACGAGCGTAATTTCCTCCATCAAAAATATATTAGCTAGCTTATACTAATTTGTAAGCACCAAATGTGACGTAAAATTGCAATTAAATAACAACCTCTACGTTTTATACAGCAGCAACCAGCATCACCATGAAAATCCTTAAAAATCCACAACAAGTCACTCACTTTACACAGAAACGTTCACAATCCACTGGTATCCGCGGAAATTATGAAAAGTACATAAACATACGCTCGAAGCGACGAACGGGGCACTGACGAGCGCACAACGCTACGGCAGAACGGTGACTGACCGGCCCACTTCGCGCCGCCCCGCCTGACTCCTACGGGACCCTTCCGCCAGGATCGGACCCCCAATCACGCGAACCACATGTGCTATCGTTTTTCCTTTTCCCTATTCTTAATCTTGGATCTTGTGGGACTGAGAGCAATTTAGAAATGCATCCTACGTTAAAACAATTTTTAAGGAGGTTTACTACAAACTCTTTCCAGATAACGTTTTGCGGATTTAGAATCATGTTGATTCTAAAATGCAATGTCTTTGACCTTTATAAAGACAATGCATCGAATGTCAATATTTATAAACACGTGTAATTCAATGGCATATCGTTCGTGTGAGAATGTTCAAACGTAAATGGTGTAATCAGCCAACTTAAGAAAGAAATTATTCAAACCTTGAAAGCCTATACAATGTACCAAATTTCTTTGTATTTGTAAAGGTACATTTCACATCGTTTCGTACTTACTGAATTATTTGAAATTATCATGAGTCATGTGTCCTTTTTCATGTGCCCTTTTTCAATGACTATATGATATAATTGCTTTGATTTGTTCCATTGTTATGTCTAAGTAGTTGTATATATAATGTGGCATTTGTGAGGTGAGCGCATCACCTTATTTATTTATTTATCTTACAGTAGTTGCCTGGAAGAGATCGTTCGAAAGAGATAAGGCCGCCCGTTCGTGCCCTTCTTATTATTTTAATTATGCTGTGTTTCTTGCATCGAAGTGTAAATAAAATAAAGATTTAAACAATAGGGACGGATAAATTAAGTTATACAATTTTTGCCTTTTATATCACGATTAAACGTATTTATGTTTGGAGTATGAGACGATAGCGATGACACTAAACTATAATGCTGTCTATTTGCAAAGAAAGTAATTAAAGGCGATGCCCTTTGTCTATGTAAACGTTGACCGAGGCCTCTCGACGAACACGTCAATGAGAGCTTTGCTCTTAAGCCGGTATCCGCGTATATAGAATATAGTCTCTAGAATATAGTTTTTCCGGATACGACTAAATATACGTAGTATTTAAAGAGGATTATTTTTAGAACTTCTCATACAAGGGTTAAAATATTAATATGACTATAAATTTGCAGACAAAGAGATAAATAGTTGAATTAAGAACTTCTCTAACAAGAGAGTTTGAATGTTAAACAATAAAATTTAAGAAATACAGCATACCATGGATTTGTCTTAACCGTCAAAAAACTTATATTATCTACAATATATTTATGTATAATTTTGCAAATTTAAAAAAACAACAAGAAAACACAAGCAAAGATTACCAAAATTTAATATAATTTACGTTCATCATAACAACAATTATACCGGTAATTTTTGGCATATCCACGTGCAATGGCACGCTAAGATGGCGGATGACTATATGTTGCGAACAGACATTGATGGCGGACAGACATTGATATTAAACTTTTATAATTCTTCATTGTATTACTGTACATACCAAAATTAATTTGATATCCATCATATTTTTCAATACGATTTCTCATGTTGAGTTCTTCATAAGGAGTCTGGAATCAGTTTTTCGAGTCCATTAACCTTCCAACACGAAACCGTGTAGACACAAGTTTTATTATTAATATTTTTAATTAAACACACATAAATTTGTCTATTACGTGTGTTCTCAAATTATATTTTTATAGCAAGTTATCTGCTATCTATGCCTAACAATCTCTTTTAAGTATAGAAGCTAAAATCCATACGTAAACAGCCAGGGTTCGTACGCACGACCTCATGGTTGCGAACGTGTTACAGCGCCTTAACTGTTTGGATACTACGCCACTACTATATGTAGGTTGGCAAAAAAATAATGAAACATGAAGCTTATAAAAATGCAAGGTTATATCACGAATTCCATTGCGAAATTCACTAAATTATTACTTGTACTTATTACATATTATATTTATATACCAGTTTCAAAATCACTATATTGGGCGGATTTGTAAACTTTTTATTAAACGAAAATGATAAAATATATTACAAAATTATACGTCGAAAATTTTACAAAATGTATCGAATGACGACGGATATGCGTTTTAAAATCTGAGTATATACTAATAAGTTATATTCAAGGTACTTAAGACGCTCAAGGCTATCCTTTATGCCAGCCCCAATTTCCTTTAAGGCATAAAGAGTAAAGGCTAAAACCTTTTTACAGTTTGTATTGACTGGTCGCGCATGTGTGCGTGCGTACACAACGATTACGCAAACCGCGGAGCTTCCCCGAGGAGTGAGGTCGTTGGCAATGGACTCGGTTCAATGTCACCAAATATATCACCGAGCGGTGTGCGTGACTTGAACGCTATTGATACTTTGATAAGACCTTGAGCCGCCAACTGTATGTCTACGTATCGTCTGAAGAATTATTGAATTTACGATCTTATTAATTTTTATACATAAATACTTCTTACAATAATAACATCGTTTAAAAAAAAGGAAAAATAAACTTGCGGCAATGATTAAAACTAATATACTACGTTGTGGTGCTTTTGAAATGCAAAGAAATAAAAAACCTTGTACTACTAATAAATATCATATGTACTTGCATTATACGTGTGTATTTTTTATTATTTTCATTTTATTGTAATATTCAAAAATTCATTTGAACTGACATATCCCAAAGACTTGAACACTGTGAGTTTTAAATGAAATATTACCACATGCAGGGATTTATCAACATCAAATTAGCATGTCCATTAGCCTGTATTATAGACAGACAAAAGATTAAGTAGTGTCAAGCGCGCTACATGGCCATGCTCCTGACCGGGTCGTCGAACTCAGTTTTCGGCAGGCGCCCCCTGTTTCAGCTGTAACGCGATCCTGCACGCACACAAACGCTTTCTCACTCACACAACCGCGAACTGCAATGTAGGAAACGGAAAAGAAATCATTTATTGTCACCATAATGCGGTTAAATTTTTGTATTATGTTGAATCTATAAATTGAAAAGCAATAATTAAATATAGGAATTATAGCATATGGGTCACCGAGAATCACAAATATATCATGAGCGCGTAAGAATAACGCCGTTTAATTTAATTATTCGAAACTTGTTTTAAATGATATCGCAGTCACATCGCAACAATGATATTTTAAATCCTAATGTAAACTAAATTAATTATCCGTAACGAACTTCTCTTCTGGCATAGAAGATCTACTTCTATCTTGATGCGCCATCTAATCTCGCAATTTTTTTACCATGTCCTGACAGTGGCACCCCAGAGGAGAAGGATATTCCTGCGTTAATTTTATAACAGCATATTATTCTTTTTATGCAGTTCTTTTTTTAAGTTATTTCGTTTTACAAAACTGTGCATGGAAACGGCGATAATTATTAGATGACAAAGCCAAACACGCAACTTTCATCTTATAAAATTCTTGGTAACATTACTTACATAATAAGTCCAAATATAAGTGACGATTCGTCTGGCGTAGACTTCTTTGACGAGACAGGAAGCATTAGCCAGGTCATAAATAGTCTGCGATCGATCGTAAGGTTCACGGCCACTGCCGAATTTCAGCATTTTCATGACCTCCATGACCTTTGAACTTGGGACCGAGTGAACGTACCCTTGACTCAGTCGTTGCCCTGCCATAATTAGACTGATAATAATACTGTCATGAACGTTATCGATATTTATTAAGCGTGCCACGAAGACTACTTTTTTATATAGGCTTATTAGTAATCAATTAATTTCTTTGTGACAGACATGTTGTGTGCTTGGTGAAATAGTCAACTATGTAGGCTGAAACGCGTGTCTGCTGCAAAAGGAAAAATTCTCAAAAGGCCGGCAGCGCGCTTGCGAGCCTTTCTGTCAGTGCGATTGTCCATGGGCGGCGGTAACTTAACATCAGGTGAGCCTACTGCACGTTTGCCTCCTGTAACATAAAAAAAAAATGCCTTCAATAATTTTTCAAATAATGATAATAATTAGAATGCCTATTCATAATAGGTATAATGAAAACGATCTATCTAGGTATATTTGTATGTATATTGGTCTAAAGATTCTTGACTAAAATAAAAATAAATATGTAGCCCCGATGCAAAGGTGGCTTCATTTTAATATATTTAGTAAAAATGAAAAGTTTTTATATAAAGTAAAATGATTTGCCTTTGTGTTATTTTCTTACACATTTTACATGCAATATTCATTTAAGAAGGTTATTATCGTTCGTTATCTAACTCAACACTAACAAAAATAAAAGATATCGAGATCATCGCCCGCTAAAATATTGCAAAATATTTTAGCGCTTTTTCAGTGACGAATAATATAAATATTATTTGAAGCGTTGAAAGTTTAAGAATGGCGTTGCAAGAAACATCTTTTCACGGCGTCTGGCGAAAAGAAATCAAAGAATATCGCTATACTATTTCCATTTATTTATAAAATTCTGGATAGTGATTAATTTAGAAGCACGGGCAAAGTGCGATGTTGGCAGTAAAATAAACAAAGATGACGTAAATTTGGTATTTTTTTAATATTGGGTATCCTAAATATTAAATTATTATAAAATGTAAGTATATTATAAAAAAATTTAACCAATTTCAAAAAAAGTGTTTCTTATTTAGATTTTTTATTATTATTATGTAAAATGTTTCCCGATTATTCGGGGACACCGAGAGTGACACAATTTGGAATACTGGACATTTATAGGCATACTTGAAGCTGTTATAGTATTTACTTTGTGACTCGCATAACTTCTTTCTGTTGGTATAGATTGCCTATGTAGTTGTACCAAATACTTATACAATTCAGCTTTTCGACTTTTTATATTACTTTACATAAGGCTGCTTTAAAATTATTGTATCTTTTAAATATAATATTTGTTTTATTTGAATAAATTATCTAAGCATTAGTTAATGCTTATATCATAGATGTCCCTGTTATGTCTTGCAGCAGCAACTTCATTCTTAATGCTAATTTAACAAATACTAAATGTTTCTTTTTCGATTTCCCAAGCTTGCTCTGCACTAACTACGTTGAGAGAACCCTTTGCTGTACTATTTATCTCCATTGTCTCTTTAGTACCAATAACATATAATATCAGCGACTACTTAAAATATACCACTACATAGTATTTTTTATGTTCTAAGTACGAGTAGGTACAACAGAAGGGAAGTTAACTAGATTTTTTGTTACTCAATACGAGGTGGGCTATACCTACAAAAATCGCCTCGGGTTCTTCTAAGGCCGTTGAAGTTGGTGGCGCGTTCTTATGAGTGTGTGCGTTAAACTGTATGAGTGCAAAACTGTTAATAATATTAATGAGCATCTCTCAAATCCATTTAACTATGTTTAAACCTACTCAGGGGCCAACAGATATGTTTGGATAAAAATAAAATGTCTCCGCTAAGAGGTTGTTCACCCAATATTTGGGCATCGCCTCCCTACAACTATTTGTCAAAGGACAATTTTAGGCTTTTGTTTTTTTTAATTTCCGTGAAGCATTTTATACTTTCGGATGAAAAGAACCACCTGTTCCATCCACATACATATATATACTTACAATTTAATTAATATATAATTTAGTTGGCACAGTGAATTTAATTTTCCCACAATTACTATATAAAATTTTAGTAAATATATAAAACCCAATTACGTACATATATGTCTAGGTGAATCCTGTGATATCAGTAGTCGCATTGCTGAGGAAATCATTAAAGTTTGAAGGATCGTCACATTGATACTTGTTTCTCTATTTTTTTAAGTTATAAGTCAAATTAGGGACGAGTGTCTTAGAACTACGGTCACGGCATTCTGTCTCGTCCAAACTAAAACAATTATTGTAATACATACTAGTAATACAATAATTGTTTTAGTGTTATGTAAAACGGTATCATAATTTAGTATTTTGGTACGATTAATTTTTCTATGAACATCCATACATGCATCTTCTAACTCACTACTATACACGTTATTTAGTCGTGATACACATTTCCTTTCAGATATTTAAAATGTTTAAAATCAGCTTAAGAGGATACTTAATTCAAACAAGAGGTTAAACTTTATAAATAAACATTTTTGATATACGATAATACACTTATCCGCCCTGTGTGTTGCATAATAACGTGCACTTACGAGTGCATGTAAATACGTACAGAATAGACGCAAGCGCAACATACACACATGCTCACATTCTTCACACAGATAAGAGCTCGGTCAATGAACCCTCTATCGAAATGACGCCTGTAAATACTGAAAAAAGCAGTGAACCCAATCGATTGATCGTATTGTGATTTATAAAATGTTTGTATAATTATGCTTTCAGGTTAAGATATACAATAACCAAAATTACAAACTTGGATGACTTGCGTCGTCTTCCGTGGTGCGTTTTTGCACCATATTTTAAATGTTACCTTACTTATCCAGTAATGAAGTAATGCAGGGAAATTAAAGCTATACAAAACATAAACCATTCATCATCATAAAATTAAAAAAAAAACCTTTTTGTAGTATGTCAAGCCCATTAGCGAATCTATATAATTTATTATAAAATAATGGACACTGAAATACGTACTCTATTACAAGTTATAGTTAAGAATAGCATTGGCGGAACGAGAGATCTTGAATGGAGTGAAAGTGCCTTTAGACACTTCCTGACACGTGGAAAGTGAACGTCGCTAGCGCAGTCACCAGCCCTGCCTAGGCAATATGCTAGATACTATCTAGAAATGCAAGAAAGTAGGGTCAATGCCTTTATGGCTAAATACTTTATATATATATATAAAAAATTACAATAATATGTATTGCATGCATATAATAAATTCAGTTACGTTTAAAAATAAAATAATTTAATAATAAATATTGGAATCAAATTTATCTACACGTATCCTTTTATTACGAAGCTACTTTTAGCTATAAAAATATATATATATATATATATATATATATATATATATATATATATATATATATATGTCGCCTTCGTATCTTAGTAGTTAACTTTCTAACTTATAATATTTTTGTATAAAATAATTATTAAAAATAAATTTAAAAAAATATTATAATTATTATAATATTTTTAAATATAAAAATTTTTTTAATTTTATAATTTTTTAAAATAAATATTTAAAAAAATATTTTTATAAAAGTTTATATAATAATATAGATTTCGAATAGGCACTAAGAACTTAAAAAGTCTGACATAGAATTAGTTCAAGCTGGATTGTGCTGGAATATATAGAGCCCCAAGTCTCATCTAGAGGTTACGGAACTTTAAACATTAGATATACATGGTCTCTCTCTGAAATAAGAAAAAATTAAACAATTGTCCAGATTTCGTAGGGGAAAAAATTTAAAAGGCTCGGATTTATATAACATAAACTGGTTAGTAACAGAACAAAATTTTATGTTATACGATTACCAGTCTACGACACGGATGCAGATGTAAAGTTGAATGACAATAAGAATTTCTTATAAGATCCCATTACCATTTCGCGACATCCCCAGCTATCCTTGTATGAGTGATGTTTTCCGGATATAAGACTTAAATATTGAGATGAATTCGCGTATGAATGAGTTACCGAATGTCGTTCACCCCCTGGGGTCGTGGACCGGCCGAGTTACGACCAGCTGATCTCCGCGCGTCAGACCCCCGCATGACTAACAAATTGTTTCGTCTTATCACACCGTTACATGTTAATTTTGTCGTGATTTATGGAAACGGTGACGTTACAGGATGAATTTTTCATAAATTTAATGCGATCTTAGTTTTCGGGTTTCGGAGAATAATTCTAATATACAGTGAAATGTCAGTAGCACATGGCGATGAAGGCGGCTTTCTACTAAACTGTGGCCAATAGTCTCAGCCAATAAATAGAACTCACCTTAACTTGTTTGTAGGTAATATCTATTAACTAAGATAAATATTTGGTTGATCAGGATATTAAGATTACCTCACATATTAGTTTTTGGAAACTATTTATTTTACCTTTAATAGAATAGCCAATGAAAGAACACATAGTTAATAGTATGCCTATTCGACAAGAGGTGGCGCTACAATTCTCTGACAGCAACAGTACTTTTGCATTTTCGCAAATATTTCTTTACGCTTACACCGCTGAACAGACTTCGACCACCAATTTGGTGTATGTTTAAAAATTACCTTAATTCCATTTCCTCAAGTTGTGGGTATTTGTTTAATCAACATGTATAGATCATAAATTATTATTTGAATTGCATTTGCATTGAATCGTATTATTTGTTTCAAATTATATTAACCTCTTTGCATCAGACTATTTACATGTAATTAAAAAACAATAAAACGTCATTTTTATTCTATTTTTATGAAATATACAAATGCTGTATTGTGATTAAAGATTTTTTTTCAAAATTGTAGTTATTTCCTTTGATATAAAGAATTTTTAATCAAGATGGTTGCCGGGGATCATGGACCCGAAACAAGCTATGAAGAGCGCGCAGAGCGGCGGTTACAAGTCGTCTACTCCAAACAAACAAAAGAACGGCAAGTCTTTATGCAAGAGTTGAAGGAATTGCGCAAACGGAGGGACAAGAAAATCTTAAAGACCGTTAGAGACTTGATCGGTCCCAGGTGGTACCAAGCTTTAAGCGTACCCCAAAGAGAGGCTTTAGATTCTCTAGAATTTTCCATCTATCAAGATCTTCTTGAAGGAAAGCCAGTTCGCAGTGCCAACGTAATGAGACGTTTAGGCCTTTATCCGCGCCCAAACGAAGGCGACCTCATGAATTGTCTTTACCTTGGCCGTAAGGATCCGAAAGAAACGCTAGCTCAGCTTTTTTACGTGACCTATGGACATCCCATTGATGGCAAGCAGCTATCATATGCCCTTAATGCAAGACTAATGCTTTCGGCCATACTTTACTTAGGGCTAAACAATCTCTTAGAGTTACTAAAGAAACGTTTTCAAGCGGACCCAGAAAAGAAGAAAAGTAAACAGAAGCCTATACCTAAATCAAAACCTGAACTGAAATCGCCATACTTGCAAGATATGATCGCAGTTCTTTACTCACCACCAAGAAGGAAACCTTTTAAGCCCAAACCCCTTCCCAATTTAGAAGATTTGAATGAGCCGTATGAGGAAGAACCTCCGATCATGAGACCACCACCACCTGTTCCTCCACCACCGCCTCGAAAAAAGAGAATTCCACGTGCTTGTTGTGATAGAATGGCAGGAGTAATGAATATTGAACCACACTCATCGATAACCGCAGTCACAATGAAAACAGTAACACGAACGAGTCGACATCACAAGACACGAGGGGGATCAAAGTTTAGTGTGACTGAAGTTAAGAAAACTTACGGTATTAGTATGAGTAGACCAAAACGTGGTCGTGGTAGAAAGAAAGTTAATGCACCTAGTACTGGTATATGGAATTCTCAGTACATGATCACTGGAGTGCACCAAATTAATGGGAAGCCGGTGTTCGTGCTAGCAAACGTCACAATATTACCTGCTATGGGTGAACTTATACATGGTGGTTATCGTTATATCGGAGGAGAAAGTATTAACATAAACAGCGGCATTAGAGGATGGCCACCACCGGCTAAGTCTCAACCATGCGAGTGTCTTCATAAATGGCAATCGGTAGCGCTTGACTATGTTAAAAGTACTAAATGTCACTGCGGTCATCACTACGACTACGGTAATGAAGGAGTATTCCCAGCAGAAGAATTACCATTTTTCCAAAAACCCACGCGTCACGCACCTTATAAATTTAATTACGAAACAATTTATGACTTGGACGAGAAACATCTTCATGTCGAGAAGGAATTTAAACGAATTTGGGAAACTGACAGCGCTTTGTGCGTTCCTGATCCTAACATTGTAGCAAAGAAAGAAAAAAAGAAGAAGAAAACCAAGAGATCTTCAGCCACATGTTTAGGACAAAGTCCTAAACCAGAAGATTATTTACGGTGTGCACTGCGACAAATGAGAAAAATCAATATAGCGGCTAGATTGCCTGATATACATCTCGTTCCAGAGTTAAAAGAATGGATGCGCTATAGAATCTACGGTCCATACACAGCAGCAGACAAGAAGGAATACTTGCGTCAGAGTTCAATTTATTGGCAGATGTTTTTAACATTAGCAGCAAAGGGTTACGGTCACGTTGACACACCTAGGGATCCAATATACTCTGGGCACACGACATGGGTACATAAACAGGCATTGAATGATAAGTTCCGTAAGTTTACTCAAAGGTACAAGTTACAACTATTCAGATCACTGGCTAATGTCAATAATATGCTTTGGCCAACGATGAACCAAGCGCAGTTTCCTGACAAGAAATTTCGTGAAATATTCTTTTCGTATTTGTTTAGTCGGATAGAAGATTTGCAGTTAATGCACCCGTACAGTTCTAAAGAGGCGATAGAACGTAAATTCAAATTAGCGAAAAAGCGATACATATGTTTGCCAGCCGGAATCGAACCAGAGGAGTAAAAATTTAGTGCAGAAAATTACTTATCTCCTCGCAGGCTTTTATAGTAACAGATAAAAATTATATGTCGATTTCAAATTGTACAATACACTGTTTTCAGTATATGCGTACCTCTTTCCATATTTAATATTAAAACAATAACCTACGTAAGTTTGGAATAATCATTTATCATTAGTGGAGTGGCAAATTAAAAAATGTATATAATTCATAATTTAATGTGATAAGTAAAGATATAATTATATACCTATATAGGTATATTTACAAAAAATTATGGCTTAAAAATTAATTATGGAACAACCAAGTTGTTTCTATCGATTGCAAATCCAAACGGTTTTATATAATTTGATACATTTCCAAAATGTGAAATTTATTTTTCCTGTCTAATACACACATAATACTCATAGGTATTAAAAATATTTCTCTTCTATCCAATACCGACTACATTATTCATACTTATAATACAAGTCTTATAAAATCTATAACACATTAAAATCTAGAGAATCGCAGTATACCCACTTCACTCTAGTTAGATTACGTATATACTGACGGGAGGAATAAAAGCTAAAGCATGCTAAGGTCACAGGATCAACGTCTGAACGCGTATTTTATTTGGGGGGTATAGGATAGCTAATCAAAGTATTTCTGACTTAAATTTTATTTAAAAACATTAGCCAACAAGCATACAGTAAGTATTCTTTTATAAAAAAGATCCGTAGTTATAATTATTGCAAGATGTTGCCACTTAATCATAGAACCTTCAAGGCCACCATGGAAATATTAAGGAGATGAGATAAAACCTGTATTTAATAGAGAAGCCCCCGTCAGTGCGTACATAGCCTTAGGGATTCATTGTCTTTGGTATCATTATAGAAATGTCACTTGAAACCAGAATTATACAGAATACTGATAAACGAAATTGATTTAAAGCATAACTCATTAAAACTAATGTAACAAAACAAAAATGGCAAAACAATTGTGATTAAAGATTTTTAAATATAACAATATTCAATACAACATAATTAGAAATGCATTTAAATAAGTTTGTTCGTTTATTTGTGCATATTTTAGAATCTACCAATCGCTATATAAAAGTGAAAGTCACGTGAATCTTTGATAATGCCCTAAACGAAATAGCGACCTCTTTTGCCATCTTTGGTAAACTATCGATTAAATTTGTATTATAAAACCATTTTATTTATTTATTAATTTTTATACTCGATGAAGCACTAACATTATAATGACTATAGATAATTAACAAATATATGTACTTATCGATAGCGAAAGAGGTCAAAAGCTTTGAAGTATTTCAATAATATACGTATACTAAAAAGTAAAATGTACGAGAAAATATAAATAAATTCTATTCGAAATTAAATATACAGATGAAAAATTTACGTTTGAAAATGCAAAATACGGTGTACTTTATAAGATTAAATTTGAAGTTCTTGGTGTGAGTGCGGCGAGTGTGAGTTATTGTGGGTGTTGTGTGTGGGTGTGTGTGGCGCCCTCTGTTGTAGATGTACTAACGCTGACAAAAGGCGTGTGTTGGCCTCGTCTAGCGCGGCTATTCGATGCTCCTGCGCCTCTATTACCCTCTGTTTGTGAGATAGTGCGGCCGCCATTTTGCGTTGTTCCCGCCTTAGTTCTTCTTCTACGCAGATTAATCTGTAATTGCAAATATCCATATTAGATTTTTATTTATTACATAACACTAATATGAGGCAATAAATAACCAAATTAAATCTTGGTACTTTCAGTAATAATGCTCTTATATTGTTAAGTATATTCTATGTGATGTGCTTTCATATTATGATCGGATTCATTAAAATTCATAGAAAAAATAACTTTCAGAATAACGCCATTTTTTTTTCATAACACTCAGACGAACCTTGTTGTATTTACCGAAAATTATGTGAGATAGGTACCTGGATATAATTGCCTTCATTTTGGCATCCGTGTGATCTTGTCCAGACTCTGTGGGGCCTAATCGACCTCGTAACAGCTCTACGGAACATTTCAATCTCTCGATTTCACGTTCATACTGAAAAAAAGTATTTGTTTTACTTTTATAAGTTAACAATTTCCAATGAAATCTACCATGACATGACATACGATATAAAAAATTTAGAGACTTAAAATTATGTATGAACTTATCATTTACAAATCAATTGTTTGAATAAGGTTGTTGTTATAAACAGAAGTACTATGAGCCTGTATTAGTTAACATTTTGTTATGTGAATTTATTCGTCAAGTAACTTAGGAGTAATAAGGACAATACATCTGATAGCTTATAGTGAGTACATGAGAAGGGTGGTTATGCTCACCTGTTCGATAGTTCTGTGATGTTTGCTGCGTCTCCGACCTGTTGTGCTATACAAGGTGTCATCCAACTCATCTGAACTATCTGTTAATTCCCTCGCTGACTCTAAGCTAAGCCGCCGTTGAAGCTTGTCCCTTACTGGCAGTTCCCTCTCACTCCGCACTGGAACCCTCTCACTTGCCTCGCTGGAGTGAGATTCACGGCTAAACACTCGAGACGGCGACTCCCGTCTCTCTCTTATCCCATAATATTCCTGCCTCTCCATATCTTCATTTAACCTACTACCTGACAACTTTGCCCCCGAATACGCTCTATCCAAGGGATAGTTCGTCTCTTGAACTGCATTGTCATTCACAAACTTTTCAGGCGAATTCTTCGCCTCCATGTTGTACAATGCTTTTTGGCTTCGCGATATTTGCAAACGATACATTTCTTTATTAACTTCTTCGACGTTAGAATCTGAACGACTCATGGGGTAACCAGAGTCTGTGGAAATATGATGAGGCTTGCTTTCGTAGAGGGACTCGCCACGCTGACCGAAGTGCTTCAGGTTCTGGTTTTGATTTGTGGAGTAAGAGAGCATAGGGTTTGTTCTGGGCATTCGCGTCTTACTTTTGCGTAGACTCGGCGAATTGCTGGACGATTCGTCGTCCCTTATCCTAGGCGAGTTGCTATGATTGCTCCTCTGATAGACGTCTTCAAAATTACAATTATCTCTGGCGAGTTTTCGGTGGGTATTGTTGCGATTCTGTTGGTCAAAGCTTCTACCATCGTCGTTGAAGTTGGTAGAACCTTCTTCAGAGTTAGTCTCCGCGTTGTCAGTGCTCAAACCCTCCTCATCGATCGATGAACTGGATGAGCCACATGGACATCGCTTGGAGTTTCTGTTATCACTTTTTTTGGCTTCCTGTGACTGTCGGTTGTCCTCCATATTGTAGACGGGGTTAGTGAACACTAATGGAGCTACTTTTGAACTTGAATTTTTATTATTTTGTACATTATCAGCCGTGGTGAAATTCTGTATCCCATATTTTTGGATGTCATACTCAATTTTTTGCTGCACTGGGCTCTTTGGGTAGAACTTCTCGTTTTTACTATCGTAATACTGTTTGTCTCTCTGTTTTTGGTAGTTTAGCTGCGAAAACCGGCTCAAGGGCTGACCGCCATTTTCATAAGGCTGATGGAGATGTGTGGTGTTTTCGATCGGACTGGAGCTTTGGCTGTACGTTGCGATGCTTTGGTAACCGGAGCTGGCGACATTTGACAAACCGCTGATAGATACGTTTGAACCGTTATTTGTATAAGAATTTTTGCTTCCGTTCACGATATTATTATTAGATTTGGATTGTGCTATGTTCTTCTTGTTCATTACTTTTTCGTCGACAATATCAGAATCGTCCGCATACTTCAAGAGGTCTGATAACTCGTCTAAAGTGGCGGTTTCTTTCATAATATTTTGCATCTCATTAGCGCAATAATTATGATTGATGCTGTCGCCACTCGGGGATCGTTCCGTACTATAATTAGAGTTATATTGCTGTTGGTTGAAATTGTTTGGCTTGTATCTATCTTGGTAGCGTCTTTCTAAACTTTCGTTTAAGCCGTTACTGATGCCTTTGGGGAACTGGTCTGAGCCGAAGCCGATCTGTACCACTTTTAGGTTAACGCAATGTTCCTGGTTGTTGTATTGGGAACTGTATCTGTCAGGATTGACGTTTTGGTTAGGGCTTGAGCCGTAACCGTTTCGTGGTAGCGTGGCTGATCGTAGATTAAAACTGGGCGATTTTGTGACAGTTACAAAAGATCCTTTGTACTTTGATTCTTCCGCGTTCGATTTCGATGGACTTATATTGAACTGAACGCCATTTTTGTTCATAATAGGTGAACTGTGTGCAAAGTTATTGAGTGGACCATTTGATACAACGTTTTCGGTGCTCTGTTTCGTTGGGGTATTGCAAGTGGGATCGTTGAACCTGAAAATATAATGTTGATGAATTAGCAAAAGACAAAATTTCTAATGAAACTAAAAAGCTGATAATAACTAAATTTTATACTGGCTTATATTTTCAAGATATTTAGCATTTCTGATAAAAATAAATTATTTATGAAATATAAATATAATCTCGATTACATAACCTCACCCAACGTAAAAACTGGTTGATCGCGTGCTAGTTTCGTAGAATTGGGTGAAGTTTTCTTACAAATACTGCATAGTGCTTTATCATTTACTAGTAGGTAATATTCTCACCTAAAAATATTATCAGCCACTTGGGTCGTTGGTCCAATGTCATTGTTCGCTAACTTCTTGCTGAGCTCATCCAATATGTCGTTCAGTGGGTCAAGCTCCTGGAAAGGGCACATATATATATATCTATATACAACAATAATTTAAATAAACAAAACAGAACTAAGACGCAATATTAAAACCATTGTAATAACTCAAAATATCGGCAGACTTTGAAATGCCCTAGAATGGACTTTTGATTAATGCTTCGGTATGTTACAGAAGTAAAAAAAATATTCAAGAGAACCGAAGAAATAATTCAGAGTTCAGAGTTGTGGTTAAACGACGATAACAAATAATCTTAATGATTTTACCTAAAAATATTGTTCATATTATTTAATTATCAAGTTAAGACTTGTTAAAAAGCGTTTAAGTATTACAGTTTTAACTTATATAGATAAATTTTAAAACTAAAACTGTTATGTTTCGGATTTTTTTTATAAATTTAACATGTAAGCATGATAGTTTGGCCGTATTAAAAAGGATTTAATTGTCATAATTTGGTGACATATCATAATACAATTGAAAATGTATAAAATATTTATAACAGAGGGGAATGGAGGAAGATATGCAACACCAATACCACCATCAGTAATGAAGAACGCGACTAAAGAAGATATTTATAAAATTTGTTTAAAAAAGTTTTAATGATACATATAAATAGTTTTTGAAGTTATACTTCTTTAGGCACGTTATGAAAAATTGATGATAGTAAAATTTTACGATGCGCGCGCACCGTGACACAAAATTAACAGAATGAAGTTGCCCACGGAAGATGCTACGGCATTGGACATAATTTAAAAACAACATTCGAATAATAATAGAATTTATGTTACACTTAATGTAAGAGAATAATAATAAATATTTATTTATTTAATTTTTCAAATGTAAACTGAACTTTATTGACTATAATGACTCCTTTTCCAGTCTTTGATTATTTAATTGTAATTAATTATTTGCATGCAATCAAAAACTATTTTTAATAATGCCAAAGAAGTATAACTTTTTACGCGCGTACATAAGTACACGCACCCTTTTTTTATTTAATACAATGGAAAAAATAGAAAAATCACTATATTATTTGACAGCAACAATTATGAAAACCCAAACTTAGATTTTAGGCGGTTTATGTACCTGTGTTCTCCCAGTTGGTAATTTAGGTAGGCTATCAACCAGCAACCCATGTAGTGTCGCCAACTGCTTTCCAAGGTCAACGTGGGGCGCCCATTCAGGATCAGCTTCTACTGATGCTATATTCTCACACCCAGATCCTTGTGATGTTGACGAGTTCCGTTTACTGTCTTGTGGTTGATGTTGTTGCTGCTGTTGTTGTTGCTGCTGATTTTGTTGTTCTTGAGGTCGAGTCTGTAAAAAATATTGTATTTTCGTATAGTTAATCGATGAATAATATGAAGACGAATTGTTGATAAAATTATATTTATTGGTGTGTAAACATATAAAAAAAAAGTGCGTGCGTATAAAGTAGGTACACATGTCAGAAGTGAAACTTCTTTGGCAAATTAACTCTTGTTCATAATTGTACAAATCTAAAACTTTAGATTTCCGAGACTTAGAAGGAGGGAAAAAGGAAGATATGTTAGGAATTTAATGAATTTGATTGTCATTAAGATATTAAAAATGTCGAAAGTTAATACAAATTATAAATTTATTTATTCGATCTCAAATTTCAAATTAATTTACAATTCGTCATTTGATATTTCAATCAATTATTTTGCATAAAATATAAAATACTAATATGTAAATATTTCATAAATTCTCTTTACGAAATTTTAATTTAAAAATAGAATTTCTACAAGGTAATTCACTCTTCTCACTCTCTCTCTCAATCGCTCTCTCCCTTTTCTTCGACAAAGGCGCCTAAAGAAGTTTTACTTAAAAAATCGGTTAAGCGTAATGGATCCTCTATTCATACATTCCATTTTCATATAAATATCGATCTATATAAATATGTATGTGTAGTTTTTGATAACGTTTGTTTTATAAAAACTACTACACCTATTTTATACATTTTGGTATCGATAGAGGAAAGCATAGAACATATTAATGTTAAATAATAAACTTGCTGTTATATATACATAAAATGTCAAATTGTAAGTAATACAATTTGTGATTTGCGTAAATGAGAAATAAAAATAAAAACAGTAGTTTGTATGTATGTACTGTATTTTATGAAGTCGAAGTACTGATTTTAGCAATAAAAAATTACTTACAGATATAGCTCTCAAAAACGACTTCATATTGGGCGCCTCCTGTTCTAAGAAGTCATTGAGGAACTCCATAAAAGCTTCCTTTCCCTGGAACCGAGTGAAGTTCGCGAGGGTCTGCAGAGTTTTCGCGACCAACGTCAGGTTGCGTGCCGCACGCTCGTTCGGGTATTCTAAATTTAAAGAGTAATGTTTTATTAAACTAAATATTGTTTATTATTAAAAACCTGTTGATTTCTTAGATTTTTCTACGTATATTTATTTTGGAGTTGGCCATTGGTATTTCGTCTTTGTTTTTACTTTGATTATTTTATGCGATCGCAAGCATACATTAAAAAGGTTAATTAGACTTTAATTAGACTAACCATGAGTAATTCCAAAAAGACTGGGAGACAGTATGGCCGGGCACAAAAATCTTAAAAATATTGATGCACTGATGAGATTGTCGGATATATCTTCTCTGCCCATCGCAATTAGCCTGAAATTTAAAAAAATAGATTTTTAACAGAAAACCATTTTTGTTACCTTGAATTGGTCATTAGCAGTTCTGGTAATTAAAAGCAAACGAACAAAATTTAATAACATTTTAAAATACACAGTTTATTGAAAGATTAATTGATTTGTTCTTATTTGAACTAAGAAACAAACCATTTTTCTGTTTATTTTTGTGTACAGGCGTTTGTAAGTTTAACAATCATTCTTTGAGTCAATCATTCTCTCATCGGGATTCAATCCTTGTGCGTTAACCACTACGCAACTAACTCTTACCTCTCTCTAAATGTGGCAAAGCAGTCCCGCAATGGAGGCGGAAAGCGAGGCGCAGAGGCTGCGATAGCTCGCCAGGCCAACGTGACTGTGTCCCTTAGCGCCGCTTGCTGTCGTCTTAAGGCTGCGCTGCTGCCCGCCCTTTGAGGGTCTACTTCGCAGTCTACCGCACTCGGACCCGCTGCCGTGCATACTGCTTCACCTAGTGTGTCCTGAAAGATTAACAATATTCATTTATTATGATGTACATGAAAATTAATTCTTATTACGAGGGGTTAGATTTTGTAACGGAAAAGAAACTGTAACTTTTTTGTGATTTAATCAACGTAAATCAAAAACCATTGCTTTTATAAATACTGCTTTAGTTATAAATATTATTTATACGTAACTACCACTCAAAAGTAGAAAACAAATGAAATGATAACGAAATAGTCATCCTAATAAATTATAAAATAATATAAATAGTGTGTCTAGCGCGATACACTAATAAATGAATTTTATGCAGAGAATAAAGGTAAAATAAGTGGTATTTATGGTCCATTATAACCTATGTGCAAGAGCAGTGTTGGCCGAGTGGCTTCAGCGTGCGACTCCCATCCGTGAGGTCGGAGGTTCGATCCCCGGCTGTGCACCCATGGACTTTTCTTAATGTGCGCGAATTTAACATTCGCTCGAACGGTGAAGGAAAACTTTGCGAGGAAACCGGTTAGACCCAAAAAAGTCGACGGCGTGTGTTAGGCACAGGAGGCTGATCACCTACTTGCCTATTAGATTGAAAAATGATCATGTAACCCCCCCCCCCCCCCCCCCCCCCCCCCCCCCCCCCCCCCCCCCCCCCCCCCCCCCCCCCCCCCCCCCCCCCCCCCCCCCCCCCCCCCCCCCCCCCCCCCCCCCCCCCCCCCCCCCCCCCCCCCCCCCCCCCCCCCCCCCCCCCCAAAAAAACAGGTTCAGAAATCTGAGGCCCAGACCTTAAAAGGTTGTAGCGCCACTGTTTTTTTAAACTTATGTGCTGCAATATGAAAAAATGTTTGGATAGAGTTATTTGCCACTATATCTTACTCTGACATCCGCCTTAAATAATATAATTAAAAATATTGTTGTTTGTATGATTGTACGTTACTCACTTGCAGGTACTGATCGCCCACAAGCTTCAAGTAAGCTTCCATGCTCTTGGTAGCAAGGGAATTACCCCTGAATGTCAGAGAATGGTCTCCTGTCCTCCGAACATCTAACGCAACAACATCAGCTAAATATCTCGGCGCCAAACCAGCTCCCGCCATACAAAGTACAAGGGCACAACCGATGTCTTCTTTCGCTTTTACACCTGCAAGAGATTCACTGATTGGGTATTTTTATATTAATATTTTTGCTTAACTAAGGTATCTAATTTACCCATCTTTAACTGCAAAACAACTTTGTTAAAGTATATTGTGTGACTGGTCTGAAATCGTCTTTGTTTCATCCCGTATCACACACAGTATTTTTCATATCACATGTTATGAAACAGCGAGTTTTGATCTTTTTATAAAATTATGATTATATCTAAATAAAATTAAAATCTGGTCTCTCTACAATCCTATGATTGCTCTATAGCCTACAAAATAAATTGTTGTGATTTTCTAAAAAAATATGTTAATTTTTTATTATTATTATTATTTTTTTTTAATTTATATAATCTAAAATGTAATTATTTTTTTTATCTAAATGTTTTTTGTGTTTTTTAATATTTTTATTACTCATTATTATTTAGGTTTGATATTTGTAAATATTAGGAAATGTATACTAACTTTTAGTATATATTTATTCTAAATATTTCTTAATATATTATTTAACAAATTACAAATATTTAAACCTATTTTAAAAATAATGTGGAGTTTCTTCCCATTCTTCTCACAAAACTTGAAGGGCAACTAAATCATCTTTATATTTTTTTTTTATTCAAAAGTCCATTTTAGATGGTCTAATTGAAATAAAATTTGACTTTGACTTTGACTGTTTTGCCAGTCGAAACAAGACAATTTAGACCAACAACTTTCTCTCATTTTTTATTATTTTTATTAATTTAATTATTCTATATTAAAATAGTATAAGATATTACACTATTTGTCTAAATAGTTATATAAAAAAACTCGCTGTTTCATAACATGTGATATGAAAAATACTGTGTGTGGTACGGGCATGTGATACGAAAAATATATAAATTTTAATATTCCATTTATTTACTGTATGATAAGATACGATTTTTAATTTGAAAGTTTTTATGTAGAGCGGGGAGTGTAAGACTAGTTTCGAAACCCTCGAATGGGCGTTCAAACTCCAGCTGTTTATCATGTTGCTTTCTATTACGCAACAAGCATTTCCTCATACAATGAAGACATCGTGACAATTGCATAAGAATAAAAAATCTACAGGAAAAACGTCTGAGAAAAGGTTGTAAAATAGTCGCAGTAATTGCTTTAGATGTAGAATATAATATATTTTGTCATTATTGTGTTGAACCTTGATAAACAAAATTATTTTGTCCCCGGCCCAACAATGAAATTCTGAGACAATAGTTAATGACAAGTTTTCCGGCTAGTTGACCATGTCATAATTCTATTGTCTTGTTTACGTAATGTGCTAAGAATATTCTAACCCATAATAACCATTTCTAAAATTATTCTAACTGATAAAGTTACCATCTTTTTTAAATATTGCTTAAATTAAAAGAAAACGTTCAAAATAAATGCATATGGTTATTCTGAACAGTAGAATCAGAATATTATTAATATATTTTATCCGTCATACATTTTGACCGAATTAAAACACTATGCTTACTAAATAATTTTAGTTCAAGATTGAAAGATGACACTTATTTAATTAAAATTCCTTTAAAATTGACAAAATCAACTCACCAATAACAGGCTCGAGATACTCGCATAGCCGCCTATAATTCCTCTTCAGATAATCCAAGAAGCGTGCATAGCAGTCCAACGGCAGTACATCTACACACTGGTAACGGCACTTTATACGTAACGCGGGTATAGGCGCAGGTGTCCGTCCGGGGGATTGAGGCTTATCGCCTTCACTCACTGGGTACCATCGCTCATTGAGGTAACGAGATGATACGTCGTCAACTGGTATTCGTACTGTGCCTGGAAAAATTAAGGTTTTATTTTTTTTATTAGTGAAGTAGTATAACTTCAAGCAATAAGTTGGATTAAAATCCTTTATATATTTAGTAGGAGACAACACTGTCAAATAGAGCATAAACAATGGTATGGCAGATCTTGCGACTAACTTACATATATGTCTAAATGTTGAGACCGTATTTAAGTTTATTTCACGATTATTCATATAAATAGTTTCATACCTAAAAGTGTTTGGTAAAATAAATATATACCCACCAACAAGTGCATGTTTGTCACGCTTGCGGGCGCGCCGCTCGGGTTCACGGTATACGTTAACGTGTATCGCCCGTACGGCTGGTAGCACGCTAAACTCGTACACTTCACCCCAAAAACACAGTTCTGATTTTAATTTTGAGGAAGACCTGAAATGAAGAAAGTTAATGTTAGAACTTAACTAATAAGATACATCTGTCATAAAATTTAAAAGATTATCTTAAAACCACTATGGAAGTAATATGCCTCTTTCAAAATTATATCAGTAAGATCAAAATCAGTATAGTAGTCAATATTGAAAAAGATATATAATTGTGATAAACTCGATTTACAATCAAGATACCTTGATTGTAAATCGATTATATTTTTGAAGTTATACTTCTTTAGGCGCGTTATGAAAAATGGATGAGAGTGAAATTTTACGATGCGCGCGCACCGTGACACAAAATTAACAGAATGAAGTTGCCCACGGAAGATGCTACGGCATTGGACATTGGCATTGGATTAAAAACAACATTCGAATAATAATAGAATTTATGTTACACTTAATGTAAAAGAATAATAATAAATATTTATTTATTTAATTTTTCAAATGTAAACTGAACTTTATTGACTATAATGACTCCTTTTCCAGTCTTTGATTATTTAATTGTAAAAATTAACTATTTTTAAACATGCCAAAAAAGTATAACTTCTTACGCGCGTACTTAAGTACACGCACCCTTTTTTTTTCAATATTGACTACTATACTGATTGAACTCACTTTAAAAATGACTGCTTCACGACTGATTTGAGCGCGACCGCCGCTGCGAAAACCGCTGTGTGAGTTCGAAAAGTGAGGTACAGAATCGCAAGGCTGATAGTGTGGTCTAACCTTGTGAATCATTGAACATTTAAATATTTGTTGGACTACAAGAAATTTCGATATAGTTATATTAACTTAAAAAATACAGTTATTTGAACAATAAAACAAATATTCCCTTTTTAACCACTCTTTAAAACACATTTTTCGATAAAATTTTACAAACCTTGCGTATAAAGTATCATCCAGTAAAATTTCACAATAGTACCGCTTCTTAGGTGGGATGGCTTTGGCCTCTAGTAGCCACAATTTCACTGTTCTTTCACACCGCCTCGTCCGGATCTCGTCTGGACGAGCTGCTTGTCGTAAGCTGTTTAAAAGTTTAAAAGTTACTAGTAAAATACTGAGTAAGGCACTAAATAAAAATATATATGATTAAATAATAAACTCCCGTTCTACGTAAATATTTAAAAAAAAAAAATATTTTACTTAATTGCGTGTCTTCATATTGGATACATCAACATAACCGAATTAGCTATATTTTAACTTCAAACTGGCAATGTATTTCGTTTTATGTTGTGCTAGTGCTATACCACCTTTCTCTAAACATCTTAAAAGAAAAAAATACCTATATATCCATCTATCTCTTTCCTTTCGTGAGGCACACGCGAAGTATCGTGGCGCGCGATTCTCCGCACTCAACGCGAAACAATGTGGTCGGCCCAGTACCGATGAGTGTAGTGCCCGAATTTCTACCTGTAATATTTAAATTAACAATAAAGGAAATTACAAATATTCATATTAATTATAATAGCGAAACTGAAACAGACGTAAAAAGTATCTACTCCATTGCCTACGTGGACAGTGATTTCGGTACGTACTTCACAAACGTTTCATAACAAAGAATAGTGAAGGAAGTTTATTTTATATTGATGCAGGTTTAACGATTATATACCAAGAATTTATAGTCCGTTCTAATAGTTGTCTATACTAGAGTCAGAAAAAGGCTCTATATTTAAATATAACTGATATTTATGATAGTAATTTTTTAACATTTTAAATTTTTAACACTCGAATGATATAAAAGAAAAAACTTGCGTGCGTGGTCACGGTGCTGTAAAGCACGCGAAACGTCGGATAAATTTAAAATTATGTTAAATAATTGTAAATTTATAATACATAACTGAAATCCGGTTAAAAAGTTTTTTCTTTAAATGTGTAAAGGTTATGTCAATAAAAGACAATACCACTCGAATTATGATAAAAAATCGCACTCAAATATTCTTAATTGTTTAATAAAGGTGTAATTAATTCATATTAAGAAATCGAATTTACATACAACGTTGTAGACATGCAATTCGGGGTCAAAAATGTTAATAAAAGAATTCAATTTTGTGACTCACAGCGAGATTGTATATTAGATTAGCTTCCAATTTGCATTTTTTATATTGGTACAACATTATGTAATTATTTTTTGTTATGTAGAAAGTGGCTACAGGTATCTCTAGCGTCAGTTTCATTTTAGCTGTACAGTTAGTTTCTGGTTATACTTAAGTAGTTAAGGAAATTTATTAATAGAGTAAGTAAACTTAACGAACAAAAAATTTAAACCTTTAAAGTGAATTCGATCTCAGCAGGAAGATGAGTAAGCAGAGTGAGGTAATAATAACAAGATAAACATTTATAATGCTTAGTATTATAAGGATTATTAATGTTATTGGAAAAGTGAATCAATATTGACTAATATTGTAGCTATATCCAGCAGCAGATAGACATTATATATTCCAAAAACATGAAAAAAAATCGTAAAAATTTACCTGATTTGGAGGTCCCAAATCCATCGTAGAAACTGCGGGGGAATGTGCTGATAACAAACTCTCATGCGATCTGAAACCGCAAAATGTTTCTTTTAATGTTGATTAATTCCTAGTCTAGCGAAACACAAAATTGCAGTTTAGTACTTGAATTTGTTTCAAAATCCCTACACTGCTTTTATAAAGATTATCCTGAGTTACATTACATCATTGTAACTTTCGTCCCCAGATATTACAAAATATTTCCATAATATATAATCCTACTTAATACGTGTGGTGAAAACCACTTCGCTTACTTATTTTAGTAGTCTTTATTATCACAAATTTTAGTAATATATTGACTGATGTCTCAGTTAGGATTTTGATCGTAAGAGACTTTGTTTCAATATGCATTATTTAAATTTCAATTTCAACCCCTTATTTCACCCAAAACAAAAAAAAAAAAAAAAAAAATTGTTTTTTTAAAAAAAAAAAAAAAAAACCCCCCCCCCCCCCCCCCCCCCCCCCCCCCCCCCCCCCCCCCCCCCCCCCCCCCCCCCCCCCCCCCCCCCCCCCCCCCCCCCCCCCCCCCCCCCCCCCCCCCCCCCCCCCCCCCCCCCCCCCCCCCCCCCCCCCCCCCCCCCCCCCCCCCCCCCCCCCCCCCCGCCCCCCCCGGGCCCCCCCCCCGCCTCCCCCCCCCCCCC